GCGGGCCTTGGCAGGTGCCAGCCGGCTGTACTGCCCATCGTCCCGCTCACCAAGGGGCTAGGAGGAGAAAAGAGACGAGATGAGCTACCGCTGTGTCTGTCCAGCCTTGGGAGGGAGGGTACAGGGAGAGCTGGCCCAGCCCTCTCTTTGCCAAGCTTTTGGCAAGCTTTCCCTCCCCACACACAGAGCGTAACAACCCCAGAGAGGAAGGGGCAGGGGGTAGCTGAGCTTGCCCCATCCTCTGGGTCACTCGGGGGGAGGCAGCTGCGAATGCCCCAGCAGAGAGCAATCTCCAACGCGGCTCAGCGCCTCGAGGCATTCAGTATCCCCCAGCAACTGTGCCATCGCGGCCACGCAGCCCCACACCACACGGAGGTGCTGAGGCCCATGCGCGCACGCACACACACACACACACACACGTGTGCCCACGCTCACCTGGTAGAGCTGCTCGTTGGCAATCAGGTTCTGCCTGTCAGAAGCTAAATGAAGAAAGAAGGTGGTCAAGGATCAGGGGAGTCACGGGCAGTGGGGTGAGCATTTGCAGACAAACCCAAGAGGCTGCCTGCTTTCAGCCCCGGGCTTTTACTTCCTCTGGGAGGCTCGGTGGAAAGCCCCTGCAAGGCCTCAGATGTTCCTCTGTCACCAGCGGCTGTCCCTGGGATGATATTTAGATTAACCTTGTGCGTTCGCTGGCTTTTCCTGGGAAGCTGAGCTAGGGGCAGGAAGGGTACAGGGAGTGCTCACGTGGATCCCTACCCTAGACATGCTGTTTGCTGCCTGCAGCGAGCAGTGACCGGGCTCTGTGGGCAGTGATGGAAACTCCCTGGGTATCAGGCAGCTCCTAGAGATGCCCAGGCACTTCCCGCCCCCACCCGCAGGCTGCCGGGCTCTCCCCTCACCTCGTGACATGCGTCCCTTGTCCTGGCCAGTGATGCAATACACAGCGACCGCCAGGAAGATGGTGGCGACGACATCCGCGATCACGATCCCCGAGATGGTGGGGGCGTCCACTTCGATGCAGTTCTG